GCTAGAAAATCTATGTTCATGTTTTTTACAAACTTGTTATGGTTTTTGCAACTTGCAACCGATCTAGAACATCCACCGTTTTGTTCGGTTGATTGTAGTCGAATATGCATTTGATTCCATAGTTGTAGATTTGTTCATGGTCAATGAGCCGCATTTGGGTATCTAGAATTCCAAATCCTATCCAACTACAGATCATTCAAATGGAGTTGCTCTATCAGATAATAAGTGTCTTGATTCCAGATGGGTTTTGAAGCAAAGGAAAAAAAAAATACATTCATGCTTAATTGAACACTTGTTTAAGATTGAAATCTGGATTAATCACTAATTAGGTCAGATTTTCTGTTTTGTTTAAACACGGGTTTTTAGTTTGCTGCTACATTGATCAAGCAAGATGAAATAAAAGCTGAAACAAATTAAAAAATAAAGTATGAAAATATTTCTACTCTCATACTTTTTGCACCAGTGCTGCAAACAAACCACAAACTGCCACACAATCTCGGCCCAGAGATGTGGTTTCAGATAGTTAGGTTGGCTGCAGCCTACAGAGAGTAGTGAAGCTGATCGGTAGGGCTTGCTAATCTGATCAGATAGTTTTTGTTCTTGAAACTTAATACCTGCTGGTGAGTGATGCTTAGTATGTGGGTTGAGATTTGTTTCATTTGCATCTTTGCTTTGTTGCCAAATTCATCTCTGTGCTGAGATTAGTATAGGGGTTGAAGTTCTGTGCTGAGATTAGTATGTGGGTTGCAGTTTTGTGCCGAGATTAGTATGTGGGTTGAAATTCATCTCTGTGCTGCCAACCCATCACTACCCACAGTGGATTTCCATTCTCTCCCCTCCCCCTCCCCTCTCTCTCTCTCTCTAAATTTTATAATACATTCTATATGAAATTGGAAATTAAAAATTTTGATACCCATAGAGTCGTTTGTATACATGTAAGTGATTGGGATGGTAATATAGGTAGTAAGGTAGATTCTGTTTATGAAGAAGTAAAAGAGTAGTTGAGCAAAATTCTGGGTATGGCTTTTTCTCTTCTCTTTTTACAGATATCCTTTTTTATAATTTCAGGCTTATTTTTATTTGACATAAACCAACTATATTGTTCTCTTGTATTTCTTTTTTATGTACCTTGAAGATGCCTAGCTACTGCTTAGAATTCCGCTTTTCAGTTGTTATTTCCAGCCTAGTTCAATGTGTTCTAGCTTCAGTTTGAGCTGCTCTGCATTTTACTTTAGAAATTTTGTAAGCATTTATGCATTTTTTTTTACTTTTTCATCATATATATTTCCAAACTAATTCAATTAGTTTGAATTTCTTTCCATCTTAAGTTCTTTTCATTCTAATAATTTCTTGCATGTCTAATTTGAAAAACATGCCTTGGTCATCAATATATTTTGTAGAGACATGCCTTGATCACCACTAAATAGGAATCAAAAGAAAAAGTTGGTTGCAATTGTTATTTCTATTCATTATGAAATGATGATGCAGTATGCTTATTTATGTATTTTGATTGTTATTATCATTGCAATCAGGAGGAGAAGGATGATGGTCTTGAAGGGATGGAAGATCCATCATATGGATGGCTGAACCATGTTGGAAGTTTGGGCGAAATTTCAAAAATTGCTTTATTCCCATCCGGGAATCCTTTTCCGAATTTAAAAAACTGCATTTTTAAGGTTTGTTCTTGTAACCAAACCGAACCAAATCTGAAACCAAGATTAGGGAGGGATATACCTGATACGGAATCCACGCAAAAAGTTTCTCCCAACGTAGGTGTTCACGCCCAAAGAATGCACCAAATCCTCCCTCCACTAAGGATGACACAACTTAGGATGAGGCAGGATCAACAGGGAGTTCTTCACTAAGAACTTGTGATTCTTCAGCAAGAATCAAATGAAGTAGTTAGCACAACTTCAAAATTGTTTCTTCCAGCAAGAAACAATATCAAGATTAAATCTTGATCAGATCCAAGAACTGGAGATCGAACAGGGTAGGGCAGCAAGAGCAGGAAGAAAAAGAACTGAAGGCAAGATCAGTCCAACTGACTTGTCTTCTCTCTGTGTTTTTTCTGGTGTCTTTTTCAGGTCTACCATGCTCTCTATTTATAACCTTAAAAAGACAATCTCCTAATCTGATTAGGAGTTTCTTGATCCAAATCTTTATTTGGATCTAGACTCTTTAAGTGAGAAGGATAATCCCTTATCTTATCTGCAGTTCAAAATCAGTTTATTCCTAATCAAATTAGGAGTTTCTTTATCCAAATCTTTATTTAGATCTGGACTCTTTAAGTGGATAAGAGTTATCCTCTTATCCTTATCTACTGATCCAAACCCAGATTTGCCCCTATTTAACTAATCCAATTAACCCAGTTCGAAATGGGCTTTTAGGCCCATTAAGCTTTTAGGCTCACTTCCTTCTAATGCTGACTAGCTTGACTCTCTTTGTATGCCGTGGGACCCTAACATTGATCTACACATCAGCCACATGGGCTCAGCCTAGCCTCTATTACAAGGCCTGGCCGAATTCATTACTGAATACAGTGAACCCCTGAGTCTATCACCATGGGCTCTTAATGGGTCCAACATTTACACTAAATGGTCCTTGGGTCCAACCATCTTATGAAGGCCCAAGGATTGTGGGCAGATGCAAGATTATCCCATCAGGTATAACCCTCAATGGTCTTACACTTAACCTCTCAGCCCTTAATGATCAAACACTGCCCGACAAGAGATGACATCTCCCTCGGCTGCAAGGTACAGTGCTACACTCTCCACTCACAAGGATCCCGGGAATTAAAACATTTTGCAAACATTTTGAAACCATAATATATATATATATATATATATATATATTGCAAAAACAAATTTCAATGGTTGAAATCAACTGTCGGCAGTTTAGGTTTCCATTAGAGAGAGTGCATCCCCGATCATTCACTTTGTCCAACAAAGGGGCTAATCCTGTCACTATGATCACCCACTCAGATGAATTCTCGGTCTGTCCCAACATACCCAGGTTTTGACCCCCTCTAAGGATCTCATTGATTAGCACATCAAAGACAGCCCAATCCAACACCTAATGCAGTATCATAATCGAGTCTAGGGGTTAGGTGTAACATTTCGGTTTTTCTCATCTATCTCCAAGGTCCAGGGCAATACTGGAATTTTGGTCCGGTTCAGGGTTTCAAGAAAACCCACACTGCATGTACCTCAGGTCTCACCCTAGTGGCTGAGACAAGCCACCCCGACCAATTTGGTAGTACACCAGTGTCAGCCTTGGCAGGATAAATCTCCCCAGATCTATCCAATAGCTGTGAAGATTTTAAACTAACACGAGTCTCATATGTGTCCAGTTTAAGGGTATTACACAGAAATAAACCACAATAACAAGAATCAAATATGTACTTTATTCATTTACAATAAATGTCATAATATACATCATGTTGATTGGAGCTAAGGGCATATACTGACTAACAGGTCTCTAGGATATTGAGTAGTTATGATGAAAAGGGGAATGGTAGGGAATCATGGGAGGAAAGGCTTGCAATTAGGTTTTCAGACATTAAGTCTATGGTCATGGAATCAGATCAATCATGTATATACCATATACGAATGGATAGGACTAGTTATCTAAGGCTATATGAGTTACTAAGGAGTGTAGTAAAATTAAGAGGTAGTAAACACGTGGGAGTGGAAGAAATGGTTGCATGCTTCCTAAACATTTTATCACCTGTTATCAAGATTAGGGAGCAAAAATGGCACTTTAGGAGGTCTGGGTCCACCTTAAGCAAGTACTTCAATATGGTCTTGAATGCAGTGTTATGCCTACATGAAATCCTTCTTAGAAAGCCTTAACCTGTGCCTACAGACTCAACTGATGAAAAATGGAAGTGGTTCAAGGTGTGCCCATTTTTTATTTATTTATTTTATTACAAATAACAAACCTTTAAATGTTAGAATTTTTAATTTTATCTCTCTTATTTTATTGTATAAGGTTGTTTAGGGGCTTTAGATGGAACATATATTAGGGTCCGAGTGTCTGAAAAGGATAAACTTAGATATAGAACGGGGAAGAATGAAATTGCAACAAATGTATTAAGTGTTTGCTCTCTATATATGCAGTTCATTTACATCTTACCTAGTTGGGAGAGATCTGCTCATGACACTAGAGTCCTTCGTGATGCCATTTCAAGGAGAAATAGCTTAAAAGTACCACAAGATAATAATTGAACCGTGAAAATTAGGACACTAAAGCAAAAATTCTAATATTGATGTTTAAGAAACTAATATGTATTGTCATATTTGTTTAGGTTATTATTACTTGTGTAATGCTGGGTACCCGAACAGTGAGGGATTCCCAACACCTTATAGGGGTCAAAGATATCACCTAAATGAGTGGAGGCAAGGGCACCAACCAAGCACTCCAGCTGAGATATTCAACATGAGGCATTCAACAGCTAGGAATGTAATTGAGAGGACATTTAGCCTCTTAAAATTAAGGTGGGCAATACTTAGGATCTCAACTTGGTATCCAATAAAGACTCAGTGTAGGATCATCAGTGCATGTTGCCTCTTACACAACTATATAAGGAAAAATATGTCAATCGACTCCATAGAATCAAAATCTGAAAATTTCTTAGCCACTGAAGGAGGTTCACAAAGTGCAATAGAGGTTGATGAACAAATCACAAGTCTAGAGAATAGCAGTGAATGGGCTGCACTCAGAGACAACTTGGCAAATCAGATGTGGCAACAATTTAGACATTAAACTTGAATTGTTTTTAACAATTTCTTATTTAGGCTATTGTATCAAATGTACTAGATCTTTATGTGTTGTTCAATCAAACTTGAATTGTTTGTAACAATTGTTCACTTATTTATGTTTGCATTCCTTGTATTTCTATTAATTGTTATTAGAAATAGATAATATATGAATTATTCGTAACAACTGTTTACTTATTTTTCTATGCCTTCATTCTATTTATCCATTACTTGTTATTAGAAATGATTGGAAAGGATAAGGAGAAGAAACAACCAAATAGGCAAAATAGAGTTTGGACAAAGGTAAAGGATGAAAAATTGGTTTGGGGCTTAATGATGTTGGCTCAAACTAGAATGTGGAGAGCAGATAATGGGACATTCAAGGCAGGGTATTTGGTACAATTAGAAAAGTACATGGAAGAAAATCCCCCTAGATGTAGATTAAAGGCAACACCTCATATAGAATCTCGGGTGAAGCATATGAAGAGACAATATGGGGCCATATGTGAGATGTTAGGCCCTAATTGTTCAGGATTTGGGTGGGATGACATCAAGAAATGCATTACATGTGAAGGAGTCTTCAATGGGTGGGTTAAGGTAATTGTAGATTATTCTATTTTATATTTTAGACAAATGTATACATCTATTTTACATGGCATCCAATTTATTAATATATTTTTATTTTGATAAATGTAGAGCCGTCCATATACCAAAGGATTAAGGAACAATCATTTTCCATTTCTCGATGAACTTTCTATCATCTTTGGAAGAGACAAAGCCATTTGGGAACATGCAGAAACCTCTTCTGATGCTGTAGAAGCTGTTGATAGGGAAGAACAATCAAATTACCAACCCATGGAAGATGAACCAATTAATGAAGGAGAAGCTCAACACGATGGGTTAGAGTTTTTTCAAGAGGATAACATGACTTCATAATCTGGTACACCTACCATCCACTCAACCTCCAATAGGTACCTCATCAATCTCTTGTCCACATAGAGCAAGTAAAAGGTCAAGGAGCTGTGTGGATGATAACCTGTTGGTTAAGGTGCTTTTGGAAAAGATAGATAGGGTTGAACAACGGTTTGTTGAATACAATGATAGGGTTACACAAGTAACATATGCGTTGAATGTGGATAAGGAGGGTAGGGGGATGAGAATGAAAGTATTTGAAGAAATAAGAAAGATCCTTGGTTTAAGTTCATATGAGATCATCAAAGTGAGTAAAAGGTTAACTAGTGACATGGGAGAGGCTGAATACTTTTTTAGCCTACCACTTGACTTTAGAACTGTATACATTTTCTCATACCTCCTCTCTAATTAGTAACTCAATAGAACAATAGTTATCTTTTTTTGTATTTTGATTATTAGAAAACATGTAGTTGATGAATAGAAAACAAAAACATACTATCTTTTTTTCTTCTTTTTTGTTTTAACATAGCAAGTTCTACTTATTGATGTGACAGGATGAACCTTTAGTTTGTTTTTAATTCAGATCTTTGTATGATTAGTGGTATTAAGAAAACCTCCAAAAAAGGTAATGTTGGCAATAGTGATTGGTTTGTGATTGATTGGATTCCTTTTGATGTGCCATGGACCTATTTTAGGTTTATAAAACAAAACCTCCACAAAAACATTCATTATTTGTTAAAAGAGTAATTTTGACAATAATATAATACTAAAAGAAAATAGATAAATTGATACTAAAAGAACACGGATAAATAAACTTTCAGGAAATACTTACCTGGGTCCTGCATAACTGAACTTACCCAGGTAAGCGTGATACCGCTAAACGAACGAGGCCTAAATGCAACAGCCTCACATGCAACTTACACTGTAAGCACCCGCCAATTCCTATTCCCTGTAGTACTTGACTAAGTGACTGTTATTATTGAGATCGATTGTACTGATATCTTTTATTTATTTATCAAAATTATCTAATATATTCTTCATCAAATATAATAAAAATTATAAGAAAACTAGTAACCTTTATATATTATTAATTCAATAATTGATTCGGAACAGCAAGAACGAGTCCTGACTCAATTATCAATGGGAGGTTTTTGTAGTTTATCCTTAAACTTTTTTTTATGAATTAAAATACAATAAAATGGATGCGGATTAAGCTCGTTCGATATACCTGTTTCCAGATCGGATTCGGATCCAAAGGTTTGATAAAATCGGATGAGATGCGGATATAGCTGGATTCGATCCGATTACAGCCCTAACCGCTCTCTATCAGATCCATTTAAAAAGGTGGCATCGAATGACCAGATAAATCAGACGGTTAAAATTATCGAATGGTGAGATTCTTGTGGGTCCAGAACCCAGTCATGCTATTTTTCTTTTCTCGTCTATATCTGGCCATCTGGGGACACAAAAAGTCATTCTGATCATCAATAATTTGAACAACAAAGCACGAGTACACAAGTGGGCTCCACGAGAAATGGACGCATTAACAAACACTATCAGACGATCTTAAACCACACAATTTTTTTTCATTCTCCCTTGAACCGTCCGATCAGAATACAAAAGGCAAATAATTCAGAGATTAAAGTAAAGTCGTGGCTGCTCTCGTCTGCGTTACCTTCTCGCTCTCGTCTCCGTGACCGTGTATATAGTGTGGGAGAGACGAACCCAAGAGCATCAGATAACAGCTGGTGCTTTCTGTTCAATCCGTTCATGGCGACCCAAGGTCAGGTCATCACCTGTAAAGGTACGTTCTCCATCTCTCTCTCTCCCCCTCTCTGTGATTGTGTTTGTTTCTCCATGGATACATAGATGGATAGATGATCGTTTCAGTTCTTCTTGATCTGTCGGTGGGTTTGATTGTTTTCTCATGGTTTTTGTACTGTTTTGGGGCAGCTGCGGTTGCATGGGAACCAAACAAACCGTTAGTGATCGAGGACGTACAGGTGGCTCCGCCTCAGGCCGGCGAAGTCCGATTGAAGATACTCTTCACTGCTCTCTGCCATACCGACGCTTATACTTGGAGTGGCAAGGTAGTTTACTTATTTCTTCTAATCCAATTGCCCGATATTTTTCAGTTTAGGATGAAAGCATTTTGGGTATCTTCTATTTATTACTATCAAATGATGTTCTGATTCGCATTTCTCTGGCTCTTTAGTATCGTCTGTTCTGTTATTCGAATGGGTGATTCCATCAGTGCTCATTTGTTCATGTCCAAGATGGTTCTTGGTTTCTAATCAAATTATATTGAAAAGTCAGTATTGGAATCGTTTTGGGATGTTGCTTCTTACTGGAAGTATCGTATGATCGTATCATGTATGGTTATTTACCGAGTATTCTGATAGATTTTATATTCGGTTCCATATCTCTAGTTGCAGAGAAATCCCATTGCATTAAAAAAAATCTTTCTATGAAACATGGAAAGGAACCAGATTCATGTTGCAAATAGGAGGGGAATTTCCAATAAATGGTACTTCCCTTGCCATCACCAATGTGTTCATAATGTTGAATTTTACAATTGTTTCTTGCTTCTCATTTCCGCTGCTGTTGAAAGCTCGCTTCCCTCATTTGCTTTGTACACTGTTCTGTGCTTTTGCTTGCTTATCTGGTATGAAGACTTTTATGGGTGCATCTGTGCTTGCGTAGCCATTTCCCTTATAACTGTTGATTTAAGCATTGTTAGTTCTTGTCAATTCTGTTATGATGAGTCTGTAATGATTTATTTGCTCTGCAGGACCCTGAGGGTCTCTTTCCTTGCATTCTTGGTCATGAGGCTGCAGGGTATGCTCTGTCTCAAGTAGCTGATTCACAGTAACTAATTATTTTCTGCAAGGAAATAATTCTGGTAAAAAATTTCCATGCAGGATTGTTGAAAGTGTTGGTGAAGGTGTGACTGAAGTTCAACCCGGGGACCATGTTATACCTTGTTACACTGCAGAATGCCGAGAATGCAAATTTTGCAAATCAGGGAAGACAAATCTCTGTAGCAAAGTGCGGGAAGCTACTGGAGTTGGAGTTATGTTGGGTGACCGTAAGAGTCGTTTTTCAATAAATGGGACCCCTATTTACCATTTCATGGGAACCTCGACATTTAGCCAGTACACAGTTGTACATGATGTGAGTGTTGCAAAAATTGATCCAAAAGCTCCTCTAGAAAAAGTATGCCTACTTGGTTGTGGTGTTACCACAGGTGAGTTATTTGTCTTTGTTGTCAATTGCAATATGTCAGAATTTTGATGATATTATATTAAGTGATGCATGCCTTTAATTGATGAAATTAATGAAGAATTAAATGCAAAATTAAGTTTATGGACAAATTCCTTAGAAACGAGGAGGTTTTAAAAAAGCAGGACTAAAACAGAACATACATTATGTAAATTTAATAATAATAAGAGTACAAATTAGAGTAAACTTAGGATTGGAGACCAAAAGATAACTCAATGTGACAAGAGATTGAGGAGGATGAGGATGTCACCCACAGAATTAGACAAGAAATGGATGTGTGCATCTGGGTCTTTATTTTATGTAAGGCATTTGGAGTCTTCTGTGGTGGCGAATACTGCTTAGGTTAAAAGGAAAATTCCATAAAACAGTTAAGAAGCATGTCCGAAAAATGAGTGTAGTAGAAATGCATATGCTAAGATGGATGAGTGGAAAGGAACTAAGGAGTAACTTCAATAGGTAATAAAATAAGAGAAAGTAGACTAAGATGGTTTGTCTCATGCATAGAAGATCATTGAAAGCACCCATACGAAGAATTGATTTGTTGCAAGTTGAAGGGGCTATAAGGGCTAGGGGCAGACCAAAAAAGACCTGGGTTGTAGTAAGAAATGATTTAAAGGTTCATAATTTAACAATGGACTTTGCTGATAAGGAAAGAGGGGTTCATTCCATCTTGGAGATGATTGATATCAGAGTGGTGCATTGGCCTAAGTCTTTGGAGCTGCTTAATGACTTCTCAAATGGCGATTTGTTAAGGAATTGGAAGGAAGTTTCAGGGTCTACTCCATCTACTTTTTCTTCTGTACATGTTTCGGTGCCTCCTCCTAGTGGGTTTAGTAGAAACCACTGTTTGTAAATCAAGATGACTTCCTTGTGAAGAGAGAAAAAGAAGATGAAGAGTTTTAGTAGTAGAGAAGAAAAGAGAGGAAAGGAAGAGTGGGATGTTAACAAGAATTGAATTAGTTCTGGCCGCCAACTCCTCATCATATTTTATACTTAAAAGAATGAAAGATTACAAGAATGCCCTTGGTAGGGCAGCTACTAAAGTAGCTGAACAGTCACAACTTAAAAAACAAAAGCTAATGGGCCTAAAGCCCAACAACTTCCTAACTTAACAACTTAAAATAAGAACAAAAACAACTGTGCCCAATAACTAGAAATTGGCCCAACTCAACACTCCCCCTCAAGTTGGGAGTAAATGTCACACATTCCCAACTTGCATAGATCATGCTCCAGCTTATTCCTTGCAACACCTTTTGTAAGAACATCAACAAGCTGCAGATCAGAAGCAATGTATGGTTGACAAACTTCCCCAGAAGTCACCCTTTCTTTGATGAAATGTCTATCCACTTCAATGTACTTAGTCCGGTCATGCTGGACTGGGTTATGGGCAATGTTAATTGCTGCCTAGTTATCACAGTACAACATCATAGGTTCTTCTGCCTGTACACCAATTTCTCTCAATAGGGAACGGATCTATAGAAGTCCTGAAACCCCATGTGCCATGGCCTTGTATTTAGCTTTAGCACTTGATCTTGCCACCATTGTCTGTTTCTTACTCTTCCACGAGACAAGGTTACCCCCAACAAGGGTGCATACTCCTGAAGTAGATCTCCTGTCACAAAGGCATCCTGCCTAATCTGCATCTGTATAAGCCTCTAGTTTCAACTGTCCATGATCAACAAACAATATGCCTCTACCCAGGTGTCCCTTCAGATAAACAAGAATCCTGTCAACAGCCTCCCAATGTTGGACTTGTGGAGCATGCATGTATTAACTTACCACATTTACTGTATAGGAAATGTCTGGTCTTGTCATACACAAGTATAGAAGCCGCTCCACAAGTCTCTGATATCTCCCAATGTCCTTTACTAGCTCACCTTTTGATGCATTAATTCTGTGATTCTGATCAATAGGAATACTGATTGCCTTTGTTCCAAGCTTCCCTGTTTCTTGAAGAAGATCCAAGACATACTTCCTCTGAGAGATAAAAATTCCATGTTTTGATCTTGCAACTTCAATGCCTAAGAAGTATCTAAGTTCTCCAAGATCCTTAATTTCAAATTCTTTGTGTAGATTCTTCTTCAAACAATCAATCTCACTTAGGTCATTTCTTGTGACAACAATATCATCCACATAAACAATTAGGATTGACACCAAGGATCCCCTTCGTTTCACAAATAAGGAATGACCGGATTGAATCTGAGTGTAGCCAAAAGCAACCAAGGCCTTCCTGAACTTGTCAAACCATGCTCTGGGTGATTGCTTCAAGCCATAAAGTGACTTCTTATGCCCGCGTACCTTTCCCATTTCAACATCACTGTAGAAGTTAGCAGGAAGATCCATATACACTTCCTCTTGCAGATACCTATTTAGGAAAGCATTCTTCATATCAAGTTGAAACAGGGGCCAAGAGTATGTGGCAACAAGAGAAAGAAGTAACCGAACAGAGGTCATCTTTGCAACAGGTGCAAAGGTCTCCAAGTAATAAATGTCATAGGTCTGTGTGTACCCTTTTGCAACAAGTCTGGCCTTGTACCTTTCTATACTTCCATCTGCCTTATATTTTACTATGTAAACCCATTTGCATCCAACAATCTCCTTGCTCTCTGGTAGGTCCAAAATCTTGCATGTCTGATTCTTAATTAAAGCTTTCACCTCTTCCTGTATAGCTATCTTCCACTCAGGTTTGGAGAGAGCCTCACTGACACCCTTGGGTATAGACACAGAGTCAAGAGAGGAAAGAAAATCACGATAGGAAGGAGAAAGTCCACTGTAGGACAAGTACTGTGAAATACAATGAGCAGTACACTTTCTCTTCCCTTTTCTAAGGGCAATAGGAAGGTCCAGGTTATCTGTAACGGGATTAGTAGAATCAATGGGAACTTAAACAGTAGAGGGATCAAGAGGAATACTTGAATCTTTGTCAGCTGAATCTGGAGTCTCCAAGGAACCGACAGGAAGTGATGTGAGTTCTGCTGCAGTGGAATCAACCTCCCTGTGAAGTCTTTGTCGTGAGTAACGCTGAGAAGCAGGACGTAAGGGAGGTGGTAAGGTAGGTGACACAGGAGGATCAGGCACAGGAGTGGACACAGGGACTGGAACTGGGAGAGGGATAGACTGCTCACTCACTTCCCCAAAACACTCACCCTGAGAAGGATTCTTTGAGAAGAAGTATGTGGACTTAAAAAAAGTGATATCCATAGTAACATACTGACTTCCAGAGACTGGATCATAGCAACGATACCCTTTTTGATTTTTTGCATATCCAAGGAAGACACACTTCTTTGCCTTCGAGTCAAGCTTCGAGCAGTGAGGACCAAGGATATGTGCAAAGCAGACACACCCAAACACCCTGAGAGGAATATGAAACATCTCCCCTTCAGGAAAAAGGAGACTGAATGGGGTGCTGAATCCAAGTATACGTGAAGGCACCTTGTTAATCAAATATACTGTAGTGAGAACTGCATCACCCCAAAATCGAACTGGAACTGTAGATGTGATCATCATGCTTCTTGCAATCCCAACAATGTGTCTGTTCTTCCTTTCTGCAACACCATTCTGCTGCGGACTGTAGGAACAGTTGCTCTGATGGACAATACCATATTTTGACAGATATGTAGCAAGGTGTTTTTCAAAATATTCCCTAGCATTGTCGGATATGAACACCTTTATTCGTGTTCCAAATTGTGTTAGCACCATCTGATGAAATTGCCTTACCAAGGATGGTACCTCATCTCGGGATCTCATCAAGTAAACCCAAGAATATCGAGAGTAATCATCCAGAAATTAGAGAAAATATTGGTAACCACCCATAAAAGGAACATGATAAGGTCTCCACACATCAGAATGAATAACATCAAAAGAAGAAGAACACCTTTTATTATTGGCTTTAAAGGAATGTCTACAATGCTTTCCAAGTTGACAACCTTCACACTCCAGACTTGACAAACTAACAGACTCAAACAGCTTTGGAAACAAAAGACTCAAAGAAGAAAAAGGCAAAGACCCAAATGATTATGCCAAAGCATAATCTGACCCACAGACCCTGACTCACTATCCCTACTGACATGATGACTTTGATGAGGAGGAAGCACATCCAGGAGGTAGATTCCATTCACTTCACGACCAATGATTTAAAAGGCGTGCCTAGGCGCATAGGCCAGGTGCATTTTTGGGTATGCGCCTCGCCCAGGTCCTATGCGCCCCTCTTTCAAAAGGCGCACGCCTGGTGTGCCTAGGCGTGCACCTGATGCGCCTTGCGCCTCAGCCCAGGCGTGCTCCGAGAACCCCCTATTTGCTTATGTTGTTCATTCATTCATTGCAATAAAATATCTTCTTAAAAGGCAATGAAAGTTGTAAAATCATTATTTTTTATGTGAGAAATAAGAATTTCAGACCCTAACATAGACTTGTTCGGGCTTGCCTCGAGGGGCGTGCTACAAAGGCAACTCATAGAATCAAGAATGCAATATGTTTTACATCACATTAACTACTTGAAGCAATGTAATTAAGGAAAAAAAGAAATTGTGGGTTTTACATGCTTGAAAATGCTTTATATGTTTGCTTTTATTTTTAATATTCATTTCAATACACTATACATGTTATGTTTATGTATTTTAATTTTAGGTAATAGGTTTTTTAAATCATTTATTTTAAAATTTAAGTTTATATTTTTATTAACATTATGTTTTAATATGTTTTAAATTTTTTGCATTTTTTTGGAATTTTTTTACCTTTCTTTTTTGTAATTTTGCGCCTTGCGCCTCAGGTGCAAATTGGCCCTTGCACTTTTTTTGCGCCTTGCGCTTTTAAAACACTGTTCATGACCACTCCCAATTGTCCTCTTTGAACCCAGATCCTGCAAGATACAATGACCCGGAGAAAAAATTACTGAACAGTTCAGGTTCTTAATCAAACTACTAACAAATAACAAATTAGTGCTCAATCTGGGAACATGAAGGACAGAGGGAAGGGAAATGGAATCACTAAGCTTGACAGACCCCTTCCTAGTAATGGGAACATGAGATCCATCAGCTGTGGAGACCCTGTCTCTATCAGAATAGAGCTGGTAAGAGGAAAAAATAGTGGAACTATGGGTCATGTGTTCTGAGGCTCCAGAGTCTATAACCCAAGGGGGTCCCTCCTTACCTGAAGTAGAAACATAATTTGCGGTGGCTGTACCCCGTTGGTTTAGAAACTGCCCATACCTCTCAAGTTCGGCCCTTACTGCAGTAACTGCAACAGACTCCAGCGCAGCTGTAGTAGGAGGGGTCGGAATGTCACCAGTGACTGCCATGTGAGCATTTCCCATCTTATTTTTGAGTCTATTCGGCACAAGATGTGGATGAAGCTTCCAACAAGTATCTCTTGTGTGTTTAGGCTTCTTACAATAGTCACAGATCAAATCTTTTTTGTCTTCCTTCTTGATTTCACTGCCACCCCGGTCTCCACCTTGTTTAGGTCTCACAATGCTAACCATGGCTGACTGATCAAACCAGAATTTTTCATCATCACATTTCTCCTGCTCTCCTCCTCTGACACAAAGGCATATGCCTGGGAGAGGGTAACACTGTCCTTGGAAAGAATGTGTTGTCTTGCAATATCATACTTAGGATTAAGGCCAGCAAGAAATTCAAACACCCTATACTTCTCTAGGTGTTTCTGGTAGGCAGTTGCATCCTTAGTGGTTTCCCAAGCAAATGTCTCTAAATGATCAATCTCCTGCCTCAGGGTTTTAAGGGCTGAAAAGTAAACTGCAATAGGTCTATCTCCCTGCCTTGTAGCAATAATCTGATTTCTCAATTGATAAGTCCTAGCAATATTCTCCCTCTGTGAATAGGTTTCTGCAACCCCATCCCATATTTCCTTAGTTGTATTTTCCCATAAAAAGTTTTTACTTATATGGGGCAACATGGAATTACACAGCCATGTCATCACCATATAGTTCTTCTGTACCCACCGGGAGTTGTTAGTTTCGGGTTTCACTTCTTCACCAGTGATATACCCTAACTTCCCACGAGCACTAATGGCCATCTTTGCAGATTGTGACCATTCTAAGTAATTCGAACCATCAAACTTAACTGTAATAATGGTCCCAGCCCCGAAAAGGTCTCCGATACCTCCTCCCACTGGTCTCATTTCACTCTTGGGCTTGTTTTCAACTCCGTGACCATCCATACTTCTCAAAAGGTGCAATGAAAATTACAGTAATATGCAAGAAGATCAGATGAAACACTTTTGGAACCAACGACACCTTTCTGGTGCCCTAGATGGTCCTTCCACAAAAGATTCCTTTTTTGTGGGATGGGAGAAGAGAGAGAAGGGGCAGCTGCTCTCTCCAGAAACCTCCAAATCAGGCAGGACTTGAACTGCCCTCTACAGAAAACTTTAAGGAACCCTAGACCAGCTACAGGGCAAAACAGATTCACCAAAAAATCCTAAAACTGGGCTTACCTGAGATCTTTGATCAGCCTCTTAAATCACTATGCAGTCGGTCTATCTAGGGCTGCATGAGAAAACAGCTCAAGGAACCTTCGGCCTTGCTCTGATACCAAGTAGAAATCACTGTTTGTAAATCAGGATGATTTCCTTGTGACGAGAAAGAAAAAGAAGATGAAGAGTTTCAGCAATAGAGAAGAAAAGAGAGGAAAGGAAGAGTGGGATGTTAACCAGAATTGAATTAGTTCTGGCCGCCAACCCCTTATTATATTTTATACTTAACTTAAAAGAATGAAAGATTACAAGAATGCCCTTAGTAGGGCAGCTACTAAAGTAGCTGAACAGTCACAACTTAAAAAACATAAGCTAATGGGCCTAAAGCCCAACAACTTCCTAACTTAACAACTTAAAATAAGAACAAAACCAACTGGTTCCGATAACTAGAAATCGGCCCAACTCAACAGGTTTATTAAGTTAAACTTTGACAGGAGTAATGTGGGGAACCCAGGGTCCTTGGGTATTGGGGTATTAAGGAATGGGTATGGGAATGTGATTGCTCTCTTCTCTAGCCCAATAGGTGAGGATGACTCTATTCGGCCTGAGATTTTGGCGGCTTTGGAAGGTGTACAAAGGGCCAAAGACTTGAGCATTAAGAAACTGGTTATAGAGGGGGATTCGAGGCAACTGGGTTCCGGCATTACAGCAATGAAAAGAGGAAATTTAAATGGTTGACTAGGGATATTGAAATCAAGCTGAATTGGATCAAAAGAAGTGCAAATTCTTTTGCGGTTAGCTAAGCAAGGGGTAAATTGGGATGCCTTGTTTTGGGCTCTTGTGTAATTTGTTTTGCATTTCCTTTGGTGGGGATTTAAGAGAGTTTATCTTCCAACATACCTCTTCTTATTTTTTAATGAAAGCTATTCTGTTATTGATAAAAAAAAAGGATATGTGATTGGGCAGAACAGAATGGCAAAACAAGATTCATGTAGCCAACCTGAAATAGTTGGGATAAGGCTTAGATGATGATGATGATGCATGTCTTTCCAATCCATTTTGATACCTGTGAAGCTTACAGGATTGTAGATTCAATACATGAAGCAATTTCACATTCAATGCAAAACAACTAGCATCTATGCTCATTCTACTTGGGAAATTTAGGCTGAAGAATTTTGTTTATGAAACTATTCAGACTTTATTAATATGTGAAAAAATAATGAGGTAAAAATTAAGTTTCTGCCTAGCACCTCTTATAGATCATTTAGGCTAGACCCCACTGCCTACCCACTTTCCTGTCCTTTTTACACATAGATCAGTCTTCATGGATACATTAAAATAATTTGTTTCCTGCACTCATTGTCTAGACAATGCATCAACCAAGCTGTTTGCTGATCTCTGCACCCTGATGAATGCCACTCTTAGTTGCCTAGCCACATGCTTCACATCCTGTATTATGTGTCTTTACTGTCAAGTTTCTTAACTTTTATTCAGGCAGAAGAAAATCCACTTGGAATGCTGCATAATTGGCTCTTGGACTTTGCCATTCTTCTTTCCTTTCATCATTTGAAGCATAATGGAAAGCTTTCCCATCTCTAGGTCTCGTGAATGAAATTATCCGTAAATATTTAAAAAAGATCTGGTGTTTTCTTTCATGTATAGGATAAGAATATAGCTTAAAAGTTCCATTCCCCTTGGAATCTGCTAATGAGCAACAGGACCTAGATACTAGGTGTTTCACATAAGCTTGAATATAATTTTTTCTACGTTCAGGTATATGCCATTGGATGAAGTCTCTAGTTACTGTAATCTGTTTTGCTTCTAACTTTATGATTGAGTGTAATAAATGCATGGAAATAACAACTATTCTTGTTATGATTTTATTTGATTGAGGTAGAGCACATTGGTTTTAAAAATCAGTATATTTCCAAATCCATTTTATGATGATTCATCTTCCCTGTGTAATCCAAAATAAATATATCTTTATTTTTAGGTCTTGGGGCAGTTTGGAACACAGCAAAGGTAGAACCAGGTTCCATTGTTGCTGTTTTTGGCCTGGGGACTGTTGGCCTTGCAGTAAGTTATCCGGAAACACCTCCTGACTGGTATCATGGTTCTGCACCGACTGCTGAAATTTCTCTAATAAGTTACATATGACTTAATAGGTCGCAGAGGGTGCAAAAGCTGCTGGTGCTTCACGAATAATAGGCATTGATATTGACAACAATAAATTTGATAGAGGTACATGTCATTTTTCACTCATACACATGTTTATTAGTAACCAATCAATATTTTTGAGGATCCAGAAGGAATTAGTGTACAATTTTGGGTGTCAACTGACAGCTAGTAAGAACTTATTCTAGAAAATTTCTATTTCTATTATGTAGATTCATTGTGTTCGTATTCATTAAATATTGAGGATATTCTAAGAGGCAGTACTTATATTTTGTCATTCCATCATCTGTTTTAACTGTTTAAAAAAATATAATACAACATTTTTGTTAAGCTTCTGTTATTTCTCAATATATATTAGTGAAAGAACTAAAAAAAGTTTAAGCCATTCTTTCCCTGGATTTAGAAAAGTTTTGCAATCTTTGTTGAGTCATTGGGACTTCACTTCATTTTGCTTCCTGAAATGTAAAGGGTAGATAATATATAATAAATCTCATGCTTAAGAAAGGTGTATATAAGGTCAGCACAAATTGTATGGCTGGTACTTTAGAAACAAGGGTTGGGCAGAGATCAGTGTCTTTTGGGCTCAATTGTAAGTTATATGTAAGGGGGGAGAGGTAGGAAAGATTGTCATTCTAAAAGGTGTATGTAAACTTTGCATATATTTTACTGTTTTTATTAATAAATCTGATGGTTACTTATAAAAAAGAGTTGTGTATAAAAAATACCAATAAAAAACAGAGCTGTGTATGAAAAAGAAGAAAATTAAGTACTGCACAGCTATAAGCTAATAGTGGTGTGAACAGATTGGGCTGAGAGGAACAAGAGGATTTTCCAAGGAAAGCACCATAAGTTTGATGAACTAATAAGATCTGCCATTGGAAGATTGAGGTCCTCGGCTGTGGCTACAAGGGGCCTTGCTTGTATCAGCTTGTTATTTCTAATAAAATTACCTTATCTTTTTCAAAAGAAAAGCCCATGTTTGGCTAGAAAATATCCATCTAAGAAAAGAGAATTGATCATCTGTTATGTTTACAATCACCTATGGTCTCTATTGGAAATTTGCATCCTTTGGAAATTGGCTGCTTTGGATTTTAGGGAAGGAAGTAGAATTCTGGACAGAACTGAAAGATTGGTGGATATAGAATGACTTAACATCTCCCAACACCAGAAAAAGGTGGAAAACAAGACATAAGTTCACTGCTCTCCAGATTTTATGCAGCTTCATTTTAGAGCCTAGAAGTGAACCCATAAGGTAGCACATTTTCTTTCTTCACAGGAGATTGATTATTTAAATTTATCCTGCTTCTGAAGCGGCTATTTTTATATACAAAAGGTTAGGATAGTTGGGTATGGGAACTCGAGTCCAGTGTTTTTGTAGGCTTTTACAGTTTCTGTTGTGCAAGCACTACTTGGACTTTTCTGTATGAAACTCATCTGGAAGTCTTTATTTTTTTTTCTTTGGAAAAGGTAAAGTAATATTTATTGAAACAAGAGATACACAAGGAAATCTGAGATCAGTCCCAGAAAGGCCAACTGACCAAATCAGCAGTTACACATTCCATCAAGAACTAGAAAGAAAAACAACAGACACAACAATTTCTGAATTCCTCAGACACTGACAGCCAAGAAATTAATTTGCCCACTGCTTTCTGGATTAGCTCTTTCAGACTTAAAGCCTTGTTACAGAAAATCCTTCTTTTCCTCTCAGCAGATGGACCATAAAACAGCACTAGGAATAGTCTTCCATACACTCTTCTTTTTCTTGTTCAACCCCTTAAGCTTCCAGCAACACAAAAGCTCCTTAACCGAACTTGGCATAACCCAACTTAAGTTCATAGAGCTGAAGAAATGATTCCACAACTGAGAAGAATACGGGCAGTGAATGCACAAATGATCAGTGGTTTCAGCAATGCTCCCACACAAGCTGCATGAAAGGTCCAAAATCTGAATGCTCCTTCTTACAAGGTTAGCTCTAGCCAGACATTTATTTAGAGCCATAGTCCAAACTAGGAAATTAGATTTAGTTGGGCTAATGGAATTCCACACCTGATGGCAAGGGAAATCAGAAAAACCCCTTCTACAGAGATTAGAAGCCAGAGACTTGACAGAGAAAACACCATCTGAATTCCACTTCCACTGCCACTTATCCTCTGAACTGAAATCCATCTCTTGATTCTGAAGAAAAGTCAACAGGTTCATTATCTCTTCCACCTCCTAGTCGAAAAGGTTCCTTCTAAAGGAAGGAGGCCAAAGAACTGAATCACCAGATACACTACAGCACTCGGCAACAGAAGCCTCTTGGTTAGAAGCACACTGGAAGAGGAGAGGAAAGGAATCAGCAAGGGGGCCATCCGAGCACCAAGAATTCTTCCAAAACTTGGTCCTATTACCATTGCCAACTTTAATTGAGATCCCAACAGCAAGAGCTGAGAAATTCTTCATTATCCCTTTCCACAAAGAGTTTCCCCAACTGGGAGGAGGGTCCCTAGTTCTCCAATTGCCCCATTCCACACCATATTTACAAGCAATGAGAGATCTCCACCAGGCATCATTTTCTGCCGCAAATCTCCAAATCCACTTGCAGAGAAGAGCAGAGTTAAAAGATTTCAACTTCCTTAAGCCTAACCCCCCTTCATCCTTTGGGAGGCAGACTTGATCCCAACTTACCAAGTGAACTTGATCCCAACTCATCTGGAAGTCTTCAATCTTGCGCATGATTAAGTCTTTTGGGTCAATCATGGGAAGTGGTTTGTAAGCTGCAAAGTATTGGGGGGAGGGTGGTAGGAATCGATCAGCACCCTTGAAGACTTTTTCTAGAAAGAGGAAGGCCTTACAACAGGTCCTGATATGGCATAGTGATGGTACTTTTGCCATTTTATAATTTTTCTGTAGGGTCCAATGATAGGGTATAATTTTTCTATTTATAGTTTGCTTATGTTTAAAATTTCAGTCATTGCATAAGTAGGATTAGAGTTATTAAGTCTTTCTTTGAATCGAAATAGGATATGACAACTTAGTTTGAGTCCTACGAGGATTATTGAGTCTAACAGTTTGACTTCTAGAATTATTATGAGTTTAGAGTCTATAAATATGTATGGACGTCTTACACAAAGGCAATGAAGTATATTGAGCTTTCTTCAGCTTATGCTAGCTATGGTGAGTGATTCCCATGCCCTAAAGTGATTCTAGGCACCCTGTAAGTGATTCTAGGTATTTTTTCTCTTCTTTCTCTCCATCTTTTCTCTCTTATTCCTTCAAGAAGCCATTACAGCTATATTGATAAAAAAAAAAGAAGCCATTACAGCTATCAACAGCCATAAAACTCTGATCAAGAAGACCATTCAACATTCTCTAAGGACTAGATTTGAGCAAAGAGTGAGAGAAGAATAACTCTAAACCATTGAGTGGAAATTGGCACTAGTGTCAGTGGCAAGCTATGAAAGATCTTTTATAAACCAAGCAGCACACTGGTTTTTATTATGGCATGCTTTGGTTATCTACCATGGAATGGTCAAGCATCTAAAATGTATCAAGGTATAAATTATTGATATGTATTGCATTGTATTGTGCATATCATATCAGTATCAATAGTCACAGATACAAGAAATACTGGGAGTTTTGGGGGGTTTTTATGTTAGATCTCATCCTCATTAGCCTATCTATGAATTAACGGGCTGAAAACAATTAAAAAAAAGGAACATAAGTATCCACAGATTAAACTGCACGGCACTCAATTTTTTTGATATTGTGTGTGTCGATATTTTAAATCTTGCAAAGCATCTAAACATTATCTTGTAATGTTGCACCTAAGACTCTTCACAGTAGACCGTTAGAAAGGGTTGTGCAATTATGAAGGATAACTGCAGCTGAAGCTACAGAAGGCTTGCAGTCTTGGGTCATGTGAGAGTATACTCGGGGACCTGTTGGTTTGGTTTCATCAGTGTGCTTTTTGTCTAAGTGATGCTGAGAATGCTAATTACCTATTTTGTAGTGTGCTTATTGCTTTCAGTAAGCTTCCATAACCATAGAGATACTATGTTCATCCTATGGAATTCATGGTGCTTACCCCATAGTGGAGGTGTTTAGTTGCTGAGATTTAAGGTCCATCAACGTTGGACATTATTTAAATTGGGAGTAATTCTCTCTGACACTATGTTCATCCTATGAAGGCAAGATTTTTCTTCTCTTCTTGGGGAGCAGGGTTGGAGGAGGGGAAGCTGGCCTGAATAAGCCTTCCATAGAGTCCGGGGGAATCCGCCTTCCATAAAAAAACAAAAGGGAAAAAGATATTCCCAAATTTTGGAGATTAGCAAGTGAAACATAGTCTATAGTTCTCTTTACAAAGGAGACTCGTGTTTGGCGAGAGACACCAATTAGGTCTTTTATTTCTAGAGGTTATCGTGAGTGTTGATTTTTGAATGAGTTACTCCTTTATGTGTTTCACTACTTTGAAATGGCTTTTATTGTTAGCTATTCCAGATGTCAATGGATATATGGGCGCTCATGTGTACTGTGTCAAACATGATGATAGGTAAGCCAGTCTTAATGGTACTAGCATTAAGCCATTAACCATCTTTTATGGCTGGTTTTGTGTCAATACCTGGGTGCTTGGAAGGAAACATTCATCCTTCCATGGAGTGAAATTGAACTCCCAGATTTTATCATACAGATCTGACATGGTCACAAGTCATTGTTGTTACTTGTTAGCAGAGACATTGGTGTGGTCTCCATTGTTGTTGGTGGGAAGAACAGGAAGAAGGTGTTTTGTTCAGGGGAAGAAGGGGGGGGGGCATTGGGTTTTTTCCCGTGAAGGTCAGCTGCATCTGAGCTTATGTGCCACGGTTCTATTGGTCAAGTACCATGACTTTGGCCATTAGAAAATTAAATGGTTCGGAGTTGTGGGTTGCTGGGGTATTCTCCAATATTGGGTCATTGATCATAGACTGTACAGCCCATGAGTACCATGAGCTGGCTTTGCAGGAATGGGTCCCTCTCTTGGGCTTCAACACATTATATGAGCACAAAACTATGGTTAAGGGGATTTGGCTATCTTGACTGCATTACATTCCCTTAAATCTTGGCTATATTGTGATTTTCTGTTTGTGGTGTAGCCTTTTGCTGAACCTGGACAAATTCTATTGAAAAGTATAAATTGCAAAACATCTTTTTGCCACTTTCTTCTTGATGATCAACTGAAATCATTTCTTGTCGTCGTATGATAGCACAATAACAACATTTCTATTTGACTTCATCTGATATAAAATATTTGTATTTTGTTGTTTTTTTATCATGTTTTGGACTTTTCAGCAAAGAATTTTGGAGTTACGGAATTTGTAAACCCCAAGGATCATCAGAAACCAATACAGCAGGTCATTATGGATCTCACTGATGGTGGTGTTGACTACAGTTTTGAGTGCATAGGCAATGTCTCTGTTATGAGGTCTGCACTGGAATGCTGTCATAAGGTGAGTTGGTATAATTGTCTAAAAGGCTCAAAATCTGACAGTGCTATTGGACATGAATTAACCAAAATTTAATGTATGGGCCAATAGAGGTGTACACTAGCCAAGATTTTTCTCCATTGTAGTATTGTGGTAGTTGATCTGCAGCATGGTTTTCCTGTTGCTGTTTATATTGGCTCTGGTAGAAAATAGATTAATCCTCAGCATGCACCTGATTGAGTTGCATACTCGCAGGGTTGGGGAACTTCAGTTATAGTGGGCGTTGCAGCAGCAGGTCAAGAGATATCCACTCGTCCTTTTCAGCTGGTCACTGGACGTGTTTGGAAGGGAACAGCCTTTGGTGGCTTCAAGAGTCGTACTCAAGTGCCTTGGCTTGTTGACAAGTACATGAAGAAGGTAATGAATTATCCCAAAGTTCCCATGTGTTGCACTCTGCTTGGTAACTTGCAGAATAATATACTCAAAATAAGCAGGTTCCTGCTTGTGTAACTGCTGTTTTTGATGCCATACCAATCCTAGTAAGAATACTTGTTAATTGGAACTTCCTAGGATTGATAAGAACCATGTTGATTCAATTTACTTTCATTATTTGTTTACCTAAACGGTTAAACCCTTCCATGTTACAGGAAATCAAGGTTGATGAGTACATCACACACACAATGACTCTTGGGGAGATCAACGAGGCTTTTGATCTGTTACACGAAGGGAGTTGCCTTCGCTGTGTGCTTGAGATGCATACATGAAGTGGTCCATTTTACTCGCCTGCATGTTATATACAATAGATTCACATGAACTTATGATCTTCTAGGTTCAAGCCTCATTTCCTAGCTGGATTCTTCCTCTTAGTTGCATCCTCACATCCTAGAGAAATCAATCTAGTGACTTGAAAAAAAGGTAGTAAATGGTTTATATGGACATGTCATGCTCAGGGAGTTATTTTTATTTCACTCCATCTCTGCTGGACTCATTTTATCAGCAAACTATCAGGGAGTTATTTTTATTTAATTTATTAATTGAAAGATTAGATGCATGCCTTGTTTTTTTATTTCCTGTAGATCTTTCATCACTTTGAATTTGATCTAATGAGCCAACCTGACGGTGGGTTGGAGCATGTTTCAACACCCATGGAGTCCCATCTTGTTGGTCAACACACACTTTGAGACCATCATGTTTCCACCAAAGCATGAAGCATGAAAAACCATAAATAGGTTTAGCCGACATAATCTTTTATTAGAGTGGTGACTTTGCCTGCAAGAGGTTTTCTTCCATGTTTGTTTGCATTTTGTTCATCATCACCTTAATACATAACGATTTTGTCATGTCATAGGAAAGGCTAGAGAATTCTTGCATGTATGACCCTCAGAGTTTCTAGAGAATTTTTGCATGTTTTATCAGGACAATTTTTCTCAAGATTACACCAAACATATGGAAATTATTCGTTTTGAGAAGATGGGACCCTTTTGCTAGAAATTATTCAAAGCACTCTCATTAACAACTCCTACCTTTAATAGCATTTGGGCTCTAAAATCTGAACTGGGATACAGAATTTACACCTGATTCAATTTTGCATCTATTTATTTGTAGTAACTTTGATTCGCACTTCGACCTGATATAAAAATTGTACTTTTTTTGTCTCATTTGCACTCACTGGCAGTGCAAAGTTTACCTCCCAAAAATTGATGCAAAAGTTTCACCAACATGCTCCCACGAAAATCAATCTGCTTCTTACCTCATTCCCAAACTAATAACCCTCTTACTACCTCCAAACTAGTATTTTCTGTCTTATTTCTCACAAACAAATAAAGCGAAGTCAATTCTGAAACAAAAGTAAACTAGAATTTATACTAAAAAACTAAACAAGAATTATACTCACCCTATTTGCAATCCCACGCATCACGCTAACACAAATGAAATTCAAATTACTTGAATCACTTCACTTGCTATATTTAAAACATATATATTTTTTGGTATTTGGTGCATAATTAAAACATCTATTTAACTCCTATATTTAAACTATTTAAATTCATTTCACTTGATAGAAATTATTTGACTTTGGTTAGAAACAAACCTAGGTCCCTTAGATGAAAGCTAACAAAGCCTGCTACATAAAATCTTAAATAACTTGTTAAAATTACGTGGCTTTTGAACTTCAACTGTTGAGACACCAACTTTCCCTTTCTCTTATTAGCCAAAAAAAAACTAAAAAAAAGGGACTTTATAATTGTTTACCAATATATAGATGCATATTTTAATTCTTTTACCATTTACGCATTTTTTTAATTGTTCCCCAATGGTTCACCATTTATATGAATTCGTAATATATGCCTTTAGTACATGTATATACCTTATTTATAGTCCTCTAAACCTTAGATTTAGTATCATGGATGTGTTTTTGGGATTTATATAAAATTCTCTTACATATGTACAAATTAATTTTTCCATTGTATCTATGCATTGAAATAATTCCATTTCTCTTTGGTTGAATGAAGATTTTTTCTCTTGATTACCAAAAAAAAAAAAAAAAAGACAGTGAAATAATCCCATTCAGGATGTTGTAGAGGACCACGGCCCTAGATATTGTTCCTAGATGGAGGCTGGGATGTAGAAGTGAAAGTGTACCATCAACGTCAAGGTTTTAAAAACCAACCCGGAAACGGAACCGCTCTAGTTATTGATTTCTGGGTCAATGGTTTGACTACCGGGACGAACAGTTTGGACAGTTTGCATTATTAAGGAAAACATTTTTACTATATGAGAAAGGAGAAGTGATTGTGGTTTTTGCCTGAGAAAGAAAAAAAGAAAGAAAGAAGAAAATAAAGAAACAAAGGAAACAAAGGAAGGAGAGGAAGGAAAAAAAGGAAAAGGAGAGAAAGGAAATGAAGGAAGGAGGGAAGGAGGGAAGAAGAAGAGGAGGATTCAACACTCACCGGTGATGATAATGGCGACGACAGCGAGGCAGCAACAACAAATGTAGATCTCAAATTTGAGATTTGAGAACAAAGATGTGATCTCTCTCTCTCTCTCTCTCTCTCTCTCTCTCTCTCTCTCTGCTACATTTGCAATCTAGTGATCTTAGATTTGGGATGTTTGTGTTTCAGTTTATCCCCTCTCTAATATCCTCTACAACTTTCTTAAACCATGAATCGATGTACGGGTCGAACAATTCGACAGTTCAACCACCCGGGTCAGCGGTTCCCTGACCAAGTCAACAATTTTTTACCCATGTATGGGTTAAGGGTGAAACGGAATTGGTTGCCTAGATGGTTTCTGAGCTGAACAGTCTGATCGTTGTCTAGGTCAACAACGGTTTGAAAACACTGATCAACGTTAGGCTATGGTAGGAGTGTTTTCCGGCTGAACTAGGTTTCTAAAAAATTCACTTTTTGAAAAGGTGTTTTTCTAGTGTTTGGTTTGTGACCAATTTCTGGTGCAAGGGATCAAGATGGCTTCTTGCAAATAGGAAAGGCTAAATGTAGTTTTTTTTACCACATTTTCAAATGGAATTTATTTTATCCTAAAAGAAATCTACCTAACTTTTGGCTTTCCCAGTGTGAAAGGTCGCATCCCAAACATAAAACCGGATTTGCTCCTCACAGAGTGTGTCTCACACCAACCTCACATCACAGCCTTGCATTGGGAACATCTTCTCATGAGTGACAAAATCAAGTATAGGAGATGTTCTTAGTGCACAGATGAAAGTGTTGTGAGGTTGGTGTGAGGCACACTCTGTGAGAAGCAAATCCAGATTCCCCAAACATGAGCATAGTTGCCCTTTTGGCCTAGGGATAAGGTGTGTGTTTGGTTTCATTGGCATTTATTAAAAAAGTGTTGCCACGTTTGCGTCAACTAGGCATAGGCGTTTATCGAGGGTTGAACCACTGTTTGGTTCACTCGTTTATTGATAAAATGGTAAGAAATTGAAACACATAGCGCACGGAGCTGTTGGGGGTAGTAAAAAATTATCGCGGACCATGAATTGTCGTCATTGTTCATGACATATAGAGAGACCTATTGCCATCGTTTTGTCTCCAGTAAGACTACCATCAACCCAAAATCTTATACTATTTTCGTTGTTGTTGGTATTCAGATTTTCTTATTGTTTTTGTAAATCTATTACCTTTACGCAAGTCTCCCCTGTGAACAATCCTTCTGGCTCTTCTTCTTGCTGTCAACAACCCTCAGTGTTTGTTGTCGTACCCAACTTAAAGGTGCGTTCTCCGATCGAAGGTTACCTACCAGTTGTGATTTTTTATTACATGTTGGAATTACACAGCGGAAATAACATAATCTGTACGTGCACAGAAACAGACAAAAGCAGATAGCAATAAAGAAAGAAAGAAGATAAACACCAGATTTACGTGGTTCGGCCAAATTGCCTACATCCACAAGCAGTAGCTTGGAGCTTCCTTCTCACTATAAATAGGAGAAAATACAAATGACCTCACAGGAATCATACCCGTACACACTCAATACACCCAACTCAATACTCCTTTCAACACACTGTATACACTATACACTGAAATGAAATGGAGAATGGAATGAGAAGTAACATAGGAGGGACCCCTATTTATACTTGAGATGAGGGGTATAATGGGCATTTATGAAAATTTTCTTCATGGCTAAGCGAACCATAACCGGTGGTTTGCAAATGGTGTGCCATCGATTAATTGGTGTGCCACCGAATAAATGGTGGGCTCAACTCGGTGGGCCACCCATTGCAAATTCGGTGACCCACCGATTGGCCCACCTTTTTGCTTTTCAACATTCTCCCACTTGAAGACAATTTTCATAGTGAAAAACCCTCTCGAGAATAGCTTCCGATCATCTATTACTATGTGGCTTCAAGTCCCAGAGAAGTTCTACACCAAATGAACTTCTCTCTCATCACCGACTTTGTCAGCATGTTAGCAACATTGTTGTTAGTATGGATCTTCTATAACGAGATCTGCCCATCTTCAACTACCTCATGAACAAAGTAGTGTAATGCATTAAAGATAGGATTTCTTGCTAAATATAATGCACTTTGACTGTCACAATGAATAGTCACCACTTCTTGCTTGATGTGGAATTCTTCAAACAACCTCTTTAGCCAAATACTTTCTTTGCATGCTTGTGTAGCTGACATATATTCTACTTTTGTTGTAGATAAGGCCACTATAGATTGCAATTTTGATTTGATTCCCAGCTCACTACACTATTAGCTAAAGAAAACACATAACCAATAGTTGATTTTTTATTATCGCGATCTCCTACATAGTTTGCATCCATATAACCAACTAGTTTTAAGATTTGACCACTATAACAAATGGAGATTTCAGAAGTACCATTCAAATAACGAAAGATTCTCTTCACCGTAGTCAAATGATCTCTTCCTAGATTTACCATAAACTTACTAACTGCTCCCACTGCTTGTGCAGTGTCTGGTCTAGTGCACACCATGGCAAACATAAGGCTCCCTACTACTGATGAATATGGTAGGTGTGAGACATCTTTATCTTCTCAGCTTCAGTGCTAGGTGAATGTTCCGAAGACAACTTGCAAGACATCTCTATCTTCTCAGCTTCAATGCTAGGTGATTGTTCCAAAGACAACTTGCAACCAACAGAAAATGAGATATTGACTGGTTTGGAATCTTGCATGTTGAAGCGTTGTAAGACCTTTTGAACACAACTCTTTTGAGTTATCTAGACTTTATTGTTCTTTCTGTCCCTATATACCGTCATCCCAAGAATCTGATTAACCACCCCCAGATCCTTCATTACCAAAGTATGTGTGGGCACAATGATTTGCTTCACATTTGCTAAAGCCCAAACTCATAATGAAGGATTCAAACCACTTATACCAATACTTTGGTGCCTGTTTTAGACCGTAAAGTGATTTGGTCAGCTGACAAACCAGATCCTTTTTGTCGTCATCGACAAAGCCTTCAGGTTGAGTCATATAAATCTCTTCTTCAAGATTACTATGCAAAAATGCAGTTTTAACATCTAACTACTCCAGCTCCAAGTCAAGTATTGCAACCATACTCAACAAAATACGAATAGTACTTAATCAAACAACAGGAGAAAATATTCCGTTGAAGTCGATACCTGATTTCTGAGCATATCCTTTTACAACTAGTTGAATTTTGTATCTTTCGATATTCCCGCTAGTGTCCTTCTTGAGTTTGTACACCCATCTACAACCAATGGCCTTTCGATTCTTAGGTAGTTTGACTAACTCCCAAGTTTTGTTTTTCTTCAGAACTTCCATTTCTTCCTCTATAGCCATTTGCCAATGACGAGCATTTGGACATTTGCATGCTTCGTGGCATGAATAAGGCTCGTGCTTTTCTATAATGCAAGCATAAGTTGTTACATAATCCTGAAGTTAGACATGAGGCTTTGTATTTCTCCTCAATTGGCCTTGATCACCGTGAGTTTCTCCTTCAAAATCTTTAACGTGCTCTTCAGGTACATCAACAGTTGTATCAATTTGTTGCTCTTGAATCTTTTAAAAAGATTCCACTTCAACTTTTTCTACTGTCTTAAAGCTTGATTCTATATTGAATCTTCATTGAAGACAACATCTCAACTAACAACAATCTTGTGGGCAGTAGGATCCTACAATCTATATCCCTTTGTACCTTCTACATAGCCAAGAAAAATACACTTTTTGGACATTGCCTCTAGTTTAGTCTTCTGCTTCTTAGGAGTCCAAACATAAGTATCACTACTAAAGGTATGTAGAAAAGAATAATCAACAAGGTTTCCTAACCATACCTCTTCTGGAATTTTGCAATCAAATGTCATAGTGGAAGAGCGATTTACTAGGTAGCATGTCGTATTGACTGCTTTTGCCCAAAAACACTGCTCCAGCCCAGCTGCACTCAACATGCTTCTAGCTCGATCCATAAGTGTACAGTTTATCTATTCAGCAAGAGTGTAACCCATTCCGAACATATAATCTAAAACCAGTCCAACCTACTACTTGAAGAGAGGCATTGGACCGTTCTCTGAAATGTCTCTCTATGTGGTCTCTGCTTACTCCCGACATATTGATCAACCACTCCATTCTCTCCTTTGCACTTCCTGCTTTATAGAATCCAATAATTATATGATGACAAGTACATACCAGTGGCTCCAAACTCCTATTTCGCATGTTGCTCCACAACTCGATTGCTTCTTGTACATTTCCCATGTCATAAAGTGCTAGGATAAGCGGAGTATAAGACGAGGTGGTCGGATGCATTCCCGTCCCCAGGATTTCATAGAAAAGGTCCATAGCCTCAACTACCTTCTTTTCTTTGCAAAGGCTCTCAATGAGAATGTTGTATGTTGTATGTCACCACATCGCGTTCAATTCCCTTCTTGGGCATTTCTTCGAATAGTTTATGCGTTTCATCCATTCTCCCATGTAAACAGAACCCAGCAATCATGGTGTTATAACTCACCGTGCTTTCTCCATACATCTCACTACGCAGCTTCTAGGCCATTTCTAAGTCACCCATCTTACAATAACCATCAATAAGTATATGGATTTGGAATGAACCCCTTCCTAATCATCTCGAACCAAAGCTTCCTCGCTTCACCAGTCAAGCCCATCTTACAGAGGCCATCTATCATCGTCGTGTACATAACCCTACCGGGAGCATACCTTCCCTCATTCGAACTTCCCTCCCAAAAATCCCACCTTCTCTCAGAATACTGTGGCTAGACCACCGGCCACCACAACAGCTGTGACTAGACCATCGATCACGTCTTCTCTTAAAGGGCGGTTCACTTAGTTGGACCGGAACTTAAATACAATCCAAAAACCCAAAAACCACCACTCCTTGGTTTGTTATTCGAATTTTCGACTCCCAAAGTGAAGCTTTCTCTCATTTGAACTTTCCTTCCCCTGTCTCCCTCTTTCATCCAAACCCTAACCCCTCAACCGACGAGTTACCAGACCACCGGCAGCAGGTGGTGCATTCAACCGGCGGCAATAGTAAACCCACGACCAGCAGTAAAGGTACTTCTTCTTCTTCTTCTTCACATTCAAACCAAAAGCCCTAGAAAGCTGTGATACATGGATGACTGCATATGCGTGTTGTACCATGTTAGACCCTTAAATTTTTTTGTTTAGATTTTGTTTTCTATGCCTTGTCCAGGTAACAGCTAGAAAACCATGCTTGAATTAAATAATCTGCACTACATGTTGATACTGGAAACAAGGACATTGTTTTTGACTTTTTTTTTTTTCTTGAATCTGAAAGCCTGAACATGTAAATGGATGTCTCATGCAATATGCTACTTCTATGCTTGTGCGTTTTTGCTTTTTTTTTTTTTCAATGTCGTTTGATTTTAGTATCCACACCTGCAAAATGCAATGAACCTTCTAACTTTTTTAGAGGAGTTTCATAGCTAAATATTTGTCACATTTATTCAGTTGTATTGAGTCTGTTGACAAATCTAGTCATGTAACCGATATCATCAGGCACCTTGTCACTAAGGTGCCTAGGCATTGGTTGCTTTATGAGAAACCACATCCCAAAGCAAAGAGCATCAATTCTTATGTTGATTAACAATCATTAGATCCCTCTTTTTTGTTATCCAATAAATCCTAAGCCAAGATCACATATTTTTTGTTCAATTTTCTTATCAGATACTGTCAAATAAAAATTGTTAATTAAAGATAATTTTTGCATCTGAAGAAAAAGGTCTTTACAGTTAAATAATTATAGACGATTATCTCTAAATAGGATACCTTCTCCATTCATGGGCACTTGAACCCCTGAAGAGAACAAAAGAACAATGCCCAGCTCAGAACTGAAGGGAAAGACTCAAATGAACCAAACCTATTCAGGACAGGGGAACAAGATGAAATCTCAGAATAAGGCTAAGGCTGCATTTGGCATTCCTTAGTTTAAGGACTTATCTCCTTTTTACTGTTAAAATGCCTCTATGAACACTGAGATCTTAACAAGAAAAATGAGATAAATCGTTAAAATAAGGAATGCCAAATGCAACCTAAAACATGGTGACAAATTGTTGTGAAATCAGCATTGCTGATGGGTTTGGCCATGGAATCTGATTTCATGGATTTTTTAATCAGTAACTCAGGGATTTATTGATAGTTATTATCATTATCTTGCCACATAAGGGATGCTTAATCCATTAAGTTAAAGTGGAAACCGACATGCTACTTCCTACTTATACATTGATTTATTTGTCTTGTTTATAATACATCGATTTGTCGGATTGCTTAGATTTTGTACTAATTGTTTGGTGGTTTTTTTATATTTTTTCCATATTACTGTGAATAATATGCCATTACCCAACTTTTTGTATTTATATGCATTATCCAAGCTTTTATTCTTTTGCATAATGCTGTGAATAATATGTATTGCCCGATTTTTTTTTGACTTTGTTGCATTCTTGGTGAATAATATGAAGAATCCAATTTTTATTACTTTTTTTTTTTGATATTTTTGCATACTATTATGAATAATTTGCCGTTACCTGATTTTTTGCATATTACTGTTGATTTTTAGAAAAATAATCAAAAAATTATCACTTGTTGATGGGAAAGTTAATTCGGATTTTGGTGCTTGAATTGTTGTTTTTTTTTAATTTTTATAATTTTTTGATATATTATTGGAATGCTATTTATGCTGGATGAATGGATTTATTCTAATTAATTTGTTAGAATGTTGTGTAGTAATGTTTTGTGTTGGTATTATCATTACTGCTTATTATTATTGTGTAGGTAATGGCCAGTAGTCAAGGGAAAAGTGGGGGAAGCTCCCGTGCTATGTGGACTCCCGACTTGCACAAAATTTGGGTAGATCTGTGTTTAAATCAAGTCTTGACAGGTCATAGGACCAATACTACCATAGATAGACAAGGCTGGTCGACTGTGATTCAGGAGTTTACTCGGATAACGGGAAAAAATTATTCCCAAAAACAAATGAAAAATCACTGGGATGTGGTTAAAAGTAAATGGAAGATATTCCATAAACTGTCTACATATGCCGGTTCAGGTTGGGACCCTAACCCTATAAATGAAACATTCACTGCTGAAGATGATTTTTGGAAAGATTATCTGAAGGTATGATAAACTTTGGCCTTTTATAAAATAAAAGTAGGCAATTTATTTTTAAGTAAAACCCTACATGATTATGTCATTATGTCATACAGATATATCCTGATGCAGCGCAGTTTAGGCACAAGGGTCTACCCCATGCGGCAAACTTGGACATCATATTTGGTGGTATGATTGCTCATGGTGACAACTGGTCATCAATAGACCTGTTCATGGGCCGGGTAGCCTGACGGCCCGGCCCGGCCCGGCCCACACCCCGGCCGAGCTTGGTCATATAATTAGGCCCGCGGGCCTGACCTCGGGCTTAACACAGTAAGCTTGACTGTGTTTCGGGCTGGGCTCGGGATTTGTCAAAAAAGCCCGGTCCGAGCCCGGCCCGGCCCGATTCAGTATTATATATTTTATATAATATATAAAATATTATATATTATATAAAATATATAAATAATATAATATTTATTAAAATATATATTTATAATTTAATATATATATATATTATTATTTTCTTTATAATTTCAATCTATCTCTCTCTTTATTCAGTTGCTTCAACATTAATAATAATAATAATATAGGCTAAATTTTGGGCTCGGGCTTCAGGCTTTTTATGAGGGCCGGGCTCGGGCCCAAATTGTAGGCCCGATGATCGGGTCGGGCTCGGACTTGAACCTTAAAAAAATTTGTTAATACACAGTAAAAGCCCGGCCGAACAGGTCTACTCCTCAAATGAGGGCGTACTACCAAAGGTGGTGCCTTTAACTCAGTCGTCTCTGAATGATGATCAGATGGATAATGAATTACTAAATGAAGCACAATCGGAGAGTGAGTTGGTATCAGATATGGAGACAGGATCGGAAATACTGATGAGGAAATGAATTGTATTCTATATGTTGCATATGCTGTAGGTGAGTATTATTATAATACTTTTCACAAGGAACCTAAACGCAACATGTCCAATCGAGATGCATTTTGCAAAAATGATAATAAACATATCTAGTATGTTGGACAATATGTTTTGGTTATTTTCACCATGTTTTGTTAGTTCTGTTATAAAAGTGCTGCTTGAAAGTAGTTTTATGAAAATTGCTTTCTGAAAGTACTTTTGTGAAATTATTCTTTAAAAGTACGTGTGGAAATCACTTCTTCAGAGTACCTCATTATGAAAGTACTTCTTGAAAGTAATTTGATCAAAGTACTTCTGTAAACTTGTATTTTTGGAAGTACCTTTATAAAATTGCTTCTTATGAAACTAATTCCATGAAAATATTTTTATAAAAGGCTTTTTGTAAAGTACCTTTTAAAAGCACTTTTTAAGAGTACTTTTGTAAAATGATTTTTTATAGTATTTATTTATTTATTATCATTAGTTATTAACTTATTATATATTATTATTGTTAGTATTTATTATTTATTAATAATATTATTATTTATTATTTATTATAATTAATATTAGTATTTTAAATTAGAGTTAATTACTTGTGTATACCCTGAGCTTTCAAAAATAACTTATACATACTTTTTGACCTTTCAAACGGTAATTCTAACCAATAAAATTTAAAGGACTGAATTGCCCTTAATTGTTTTTTAAAGTTTTCAAAACATACCATTCTCTTTATCTCCAAATGATTTTCGTATTTTGTTTTCCATGTTTTTTTTTATAAGAGACGCTTGTAGTCCTCTCGTCGTCTTAGAGTGCATCATCACCACATCTTTGATTCTCTTACTAGTTGAATGAAGGAACCGGAACCAGAACCCACCTTTCTTCTCGTCCGTAGCTTCTACAATACTGTTTTGGGGTAACAAAGGCCATCGATCTGCTGTACACGATCCCATTTCTTCCATTTGTTTCGTTTCTTCAACTTGGAAATATTATTTGTCATCTCTTCTCATTCTGTTCCTGATTAAGGGATTTTTGTGGCAAGTTCCAAACTCTGATTGAAATGAGATTGGCTTCTATCAAGGCAAACCCATGCCTACACCCTTCTAACACCTTTTTACAAGTACTTATGGCCTTATGTACATAGTACATCATACATTCATACATCACATGCAGGGATAAATTGATCTAATCAATTAATCATCTGTAGGCTCATTTGAAGCTCATTTGAAATCCATAATATTAACCATTAATATTATTTAGGTATATGGGCCGAATGTTCAGTTCATATAACTTTAAATGTTAAGTGGGTTTTTAGCAGTTTTAACTATTTAAAATCGGGCCTTTCTAGGTTGAGTCGAATTAATCATTTAATTAAATACCAATATTTAGGTCTATTAGTGGGAAAATTAGGGCTGACTTTCAGTCTTGATTAAACCTTAGATTCAGTCAAAACAGTTTGAATCAATCTTGGTTCGAATGGGTCTAGRGTTTGATCTTTAATTAAATCTTTAATTCAAACCTATGCCCATACCCTTCTAACACTTTTTTACAATCTTGCATTGGGAATATCTTCTCATCAAATAAAGCATACAAATGGAGAGATATTCCCAATGCAAGTTGCAAGGCAGTAAAGGCTGATTGAACAGGATAGGATATCCATCGTATAGATGCTCAAAGATTGCAGAATAAGGGGGTGGATTTCAAAAAAAAATTTCTCTTCCTTTAATTGGGAATCACATTCCCTATTTAGAAAATCATATTTTCAATTATCATTCTTGAACCATAAACTGAATCAGATCTGAATCAAAAGGAGTAGAAGGGAGGATGTACCTGATATGGAGAAACAGTATCTCCCAATGGTGGTGTTCACGCCCAAGGAAGGATCCAAAATTTGCTCCCATTGAAGATGGCGCAGTGTAGGATGGAGTAGAATCAGCAATGTTCTTCTCCAAGAACTCTGTCATTTGCAAGAATCAGTAGGATGGCACGTAAGCACAACTTCCTATCAATCATTTCTCAAAGAACTGATATCAAGATCGAATCTTTACTTCTCCCACAACTGGATATCGAACTGGCAAATAGGGTGGCAAGAACAGGGAGGTGGCAAGAAAGAATTCTGCAAGGTTGCTCAATTCTTTCTTTTCTGATTTCAGCACTAAAGAGAATCTGAATGTGTCTTGTCAAGGCTGCCGCCCCCTTCTTCCTTTTGTTAACCTAAAAGATCAAATCTTAATCCAATTAGAAATTGTTTATCCAAATCATATTTGGATAAGACCTCTCTTTAGGTGATAGGGATAAACCCTTATCTTATCTACAGATTAGATTAGCTTTCTCCTAATCTCATTAGGAGGTTTCTAAATCTGAATCACATTCAGATCTGAACTCTATGAGTGGATAGGGTCAAGACCCTATCCTATCTGTTAATCCATCTCAGAATTCGCCCCATTATTAACTAATAAAATACCCTAGTTCGAAATTATGTGCTCACTTAGGTTAACAAAAGGATTAATCTACACATCAGCTACATGGGTTCGGCTCAGCCTTTGTTACAAGGCCTGGTATAGTTCAAAGATTCAATTAATCATACACTGTATGTGCCTAGGGTCTCACCCTACCAGCTGAGACAGGCCACCCCAACCGACTTGGTGGCACCACAGTATTAGCCTTGTCAGGATAGATCTCCTCAGACCGACCCACTAGCTGTGAACATGTAAACTAACATGAGTCTCATTAAGTGTCCAGTTTAAGGGTATTGCACAGAAACATATCAAGGGAACATGAATCAAATATGCACTTTTATTCATTTACAATAAACTCATAAAGTACATTATTCTGATTGAAGTTAAGGGCATACAAAACTGTCTAACAGCTCTCACTTGCACTTAGGTCCAATCAGGTACAAGCCGAAGTCCTATGCTTTCTACGTGTTTCTCAAACACTTTCTGTGACAGTGGCTTAGTCAATGGGTCTGCCACATTTTCCGCTGATGCTACCTCTTAACATCAACCTCCGGTTGTCACACAACAGTGGAATGTGTGATGTGTTGAATTCCAAATTCAGGAATGAATATCTTCATTCATAAGGCAGCTTCACTTACGGCAAAGTGTTCGACTTGGGTTGTGGACTTTTAATTTGCTACTTAGGACCCCTGTTTTCTGATATTCAGGAAACAACACACGATTCCATCGTGAAAATATATCCAGATGTAGACTTTCTATCATTTGGATCTGACTGGAAATCGACATCTGTATATCATTGGATCTGTAGTGAGCTACCGTCAAATACTAGACAAAACTCTTTTGTCCTTCGAATGTATTTAAGTATGTTTTTCACAGCAGTCCAGTGCTCYTGTCTTGGGTTGGCCTGAAATTTGGTTACCACACTCACTGCCCGAGCAATGTCAGGACGAGTGCAAAGCATGGCATACATGATGCTCCTTACGGCAGAGGTATAGGAAACGCCTTTCATGTCATCAATCTCCTCAGAAGTCTTGGAGGCATCTTCTTGGAAGGCATAGGATTATGGCATACATAATCCTCTATGTTTTGACTATTTTGTCAATGTAAGCAGATTGAAATAATCCTATTATCCGTTTCGATCTATCTCTATAGAATCGAAGACCCAGTATATAGGAGGCTTCTCCAAGATCTTTCATGAAGAATTATTGTGAAAGCCATACTTTCACTGTAGTTAATATTCCTACATCATTCTCATTGGTTTTGTATGTCATCTACATACAAAACCAAGAACGTAACATTGTCACTACTGGTCTTCCTGTAAACACAGGGTTCATCCGGACTCTGTTCGAAGTCAAACGATTTGACAGCATAGTCAAAATGGATGTTCCAACTTCTAGAAGCTTGTTTAAGTCCATAAATGGATCTGTTAAGTTTACATACCATGTTTTCCTGACCTGCAGCAATGAAGCTTTGCGGCTACTGCATATAGATATCTTCAGTAAGATCTCCATTCAAGAATGCAGTTTTGACATCCAT